AGTTACAGGGTCTCGAGTTTTCCCGGCCATGGCGTTAGTTACCGAATCCGTTTTTCGAAATTCAATTTTCGTCTCCAGTGGGAATTAAACTTGTACTCAACCACTTGGAGATGCGACAACTTCACCACTTCACTAAGTCGCCACACCCTTTTGTTTTTTTGTTTTTGTTTTTAAATTTTATTTAATAAGAGTTTTTATATTTTTTAAAATCATGGATCAATATTTACAAAATCATGCGGTATATATAATTATATACTATGGGCTTATGATATTCTGGGTCTATTTTAAAGGTAACTTTTTTAATTTCATATTAATACTGTAACAATCTCTATATAATGATAAATCATCCTATTCTTAGCTAATTTTTTAATTTAAAATTATCAAGAACAATTCTAACAGAACTTTATATCTACTTTTAATAGTAAATTACTGTATATTAAATACTACTTCAGTCTGCCGATTTATTGAATTAGGAAATCGAATTCTAGAATGATCCACGTAAGAGCTCTTGAATTTGATTGGCTCTCACGTGCTTTTCTTCAATGTTTTTCGTAACTTTTACCCCTTATATATGCACTATATTTAACTTATTATTAAGAACAAATAGTACAAACTAACAATATTATAAGCTTAGTTTCAATAATTTACAAAAATCCACCTAGTTAACTCTCGTCAAAAAAGTAAATGAAACCTAAAATCGTAAGATCTTCTTTGAATAATAAGTCCATAATCTTGTTAACTAAATAAGATTTAAATATTTTTATAGTGTTGGAATCTCAAAAAATGAGAGCACAAGATCTTCTATGTGTTTTTGAAAATTTAGTCGAAAAATACAAGAAAATTGGTTTGAAATCTTGCAAAACAAAAGAACCTCAAAGATGGTAGCATGCTAGTATACAAGAAGTAGCTAGGCAACTTGCATTTTATCATCCATATTTTACTGAACTTGCTAACCTTCGTTCTTTAATAGTTTATTCTCTTTGTAAAAGACATTATAATTAACTAATTGTTTCTAATCATTTATATGATCTTTTTCAAAGTTCAGCTAAAGAACGTAATAAAACCTGGCCTGATAATAATCAAAGCGATGTGACTAATAGCTTTACTGCTTCAATGGCTGCGTTTAGTGAGACTATGAATCATTTGGGCTTCGTTCAAACAGAAGTTCATCAAAAGCTGCTATTAATTTTGAACCTCAGGGATCAAATCTCACGAATGCAACAATACATAAATAACCAAAAGAACGAGATAGAGGAGTTAAAAAACCAATTGCAAAGAGCTCATAACAGCATGATTGAAATTCGAGATTTGTATGATGCACAAAATAAACATAATAAAGCTCTTGTCGAACAGTGGAACACCAGGTTTTCTAATTAGCAAAAATATATCAATGCGGTTATTGAAATAGCAAAAGCAGGTGAGATTAATTTTTTATTTTTTATTTTAATTTTCCAGGTATTGCTTGCTGTGGGATGCCAAGTAGGCATATTATTTTTTTTTTTTTCAGTGTTAAGGTGAGGTCTTGCCTCGTATCTTTATTAGATATTAAATTTTTGCCTTATATAGCTATATATAATCTTAAGAATACTGGCTTAGACAATTTTATCTACGACCTAAACCTACCAGAGTATGCTATGTTCCCATTACATATTGGGTTATACCTGGATTTGATGTTCAAACTATATCTAGTTACCCACCGCATTCACCCCATGTCTCACTATCAAACCTTGGTAACTCCCAAATTGGTTCATTCAGGTAATCGGTCCTTAATAGCCTCCCATTTCTGGCATTTGATAATGAGCAACGGGGGCAGAAAAACTATCTTGATCGGGAATTCAATAAAGTTATTTACCATATCATTACAAGCTTCATCGGTTTTAATATGGTGTCGCAGAGCAAAATTCAGCATGTTGATTTACCTTGGGCGTGTGATTCTCTTGACAGATCACAATATAATGAACTATTTGATATGAATGATCAAATGCAAGAAGTTATCAATAACGAATTATATTCTTATCTTAATGAACTTCTTGCAATTACGCATGACAATTTTCCAGTAATGCTCTTGTGGAACTAGAGGTATTAAGGTTTTCAAAGTCTTGTTCACCTCTTCGATAATTGCATCTAATTCTTGGTGTTGTTCATAAAGACCTAATCTAGAAACAACACAATTTTTCTCTATAATATCATGTATCTCTGGACAAAGCCACATGAGTTGAACCTTATCAGCAACTTTTATTAACCGATAGATAGGGTAGCATCATGTGGACCAGATTGGCAAAAATACTCTTCTGGCTGCTTTCTTTAAAAGAGAATTGTTAGTCCGTATAGCTTTTCGATAATTGATAATTGGCTGGAGATAAATGAATGTCTGTAATAATAAAAATTTCGTATTAGAAAAAGTTTTTTTTTTTTTTTTTTTTAAATAAATAAAAGCTGATAGTTATCTGCTTATATTTAATTTGGTAAAGTGGATCCTGCTGTTCTTTGACCCAAGCGAGATACCCTTCGACTAATAACTCTGAATAGCTCTTCACATATGGCCACAAGAGTTCCATTGAGACTGCTTGACAATAAATATTGCAAATGGAATCCCAAGATTTGTGATAATCCGCACATTTTTTGAAATAGGTAAGCTAGTTTTCTGTTTTATAACCTTAACATTTTGTGAATTGCTTCACATCAACATCTCTAATAAAAAAAAAAGGTTAATAAAGCAAAGATGTATCCGATATCGGTGGCTTTTCTTTTAAACAGAGCTATTAACAAAATTTTTTTAAATTTTGATTTCAATCTATAGTTATTAGACGAAACCTTTTTTGCTTGATGACAAAAGTCGAAACCTGAGCCCTAAATGACGAAACCTTTGACGAAAATTGAAACCTCAAATTCTTCTGACAAAAGTCAAAACCTCAAATCCTTTTGATGAAAGTTAAAACCCCAAATCTAACTTGACAAAACCCTAGTACTTCTGCTAAAAAAAAAAAACAATCTAGTACTCCCACTAAAAAAAAACCAGTATTCCTCCTATTAATTTATTATCCGCGCTAATTTGTCTTTTATTCAAGTAAATTTAGCTAATATATAATGATTATTTTTTAATCAAAACACTAAAATATGTAAAATAATCTGTTTATTATTAATTTCTTATTTGTGCTAATTTACTTAATTAATAAATTGCTTATTAAGCTTCTTATTAAAATTAATCTAAGCATAAATTGTATATAGCCCTTTATAAATATAAAATGTAAAGCCAAGATGCCCTTACTTACACTTGTTTATTATATAAAAAATTTTTTGTAATTTATTTTTATTCACAATATTTTCAATAATATTTATTTGTTTCTTCTTCGTCTATTAGTTTTGTCACCTTTGTAGTTTCGTTAGTTTGGCACCTTTTGCCATTTTCAATACCTTTTGTCAGTTTCGATATCTTTTAACAGTTTCGACGTTTCGTCATTTGAGATTTTAATTAACGAAAGTCGAAACTAGGTTTTGACTTTCATCAGCGCAAAACCTCAAGGTTTCGTCTAACAACTATATTTCAATCTGAACAAGTTAGTTTGACCCTTATAATAGCTTTAAAAATAATTTACCAATTCAACTCTACAAATGCTCAAAGCATATTCATTTCCTCATACAATTGTCTCGGTATAAGAACTAGCCAAGGGAACTTTTCTTTAATTTTAGTAGCATAACTATACGGAACACCGTCACAGGCTACTGAAATCTACTTGTGAGTTTTGGATTCAATACCCAAAATCTTTTTTATATACAAAAGAATTTTTTTGATGTTTAAAATTGAATTGGGGTTAATATTAATTGGGTCAGATACGTAAAGTTCAGGGACATTAACTCTTGGATCAGTAGCATGTTGGATAAGACTGATCCTGGAAATAGAAGAAGTATTTTGTTTGTCATTAGTAATATATGGTTTAAAAATAAAAGGACAGATTGATTGATTGGCTGCATTATCTTTAATTGCTTCTTTTTCTTGTATTTTGGCCAACGTTGGCAATTTTGTTCC